CCACGTTATCGTGCAGTGACTTGATCAAGCAGGAGGTGAGCGAGTGATCGAACAGTGAATAATTAGAAGGAGCTTCACGAGCAAAACGTGTGCATTTGTGTCTCCGTGTATACGTCTGTCGTGTGACATCGTGCACAACTTGGATTAGAGGAAACGTTTGAGGAAAGTTTCAAATGGGTACATTAGGTAAATTAGGAATAACACGGGTCGGTTGAGAGAAATTTGAACGAAAAGGTTTCGACGTATCTTATGATCGCAGGTGTTTTACCATGCGCGAATAATTAGCGTTATATTATAATATACTTTTGTTTTGTGCCCCTATCATTTCCGTAGCATTTAAATTAAATGCAATTAAAAATTTAATTGCTGTCATACATTTGTCTTCGAGTTGCCTGCATTTGAAATGTATCGAGAGAAGATTAGGGATGTCGAGGACGGGATAGATTGTAAAATTGGAGCCAAGGTTAGAAAGCAAGGTCAGAGAGGAGAACATTAAAAGAGATGGAAAAAAAAGAGAGGGGGAAACGATACTTATGGTTATAGGAAGATCAAAGTAATTTAATAATTAATTACTTGTGTGTACACATTAAAATAATGCGAGAAGCAAGAGCTGAAAAGACAGATTGGAGGAATGGGTCACTGACCTGGATAGCAGGATGCAAGAAATTCAAACGTTTTGGAGGGGAAGAAATTAGAAAAGTACGAAATATATGTATATAATAATGGGTCAATAGTAAAATTCTTGATTTTGTCGCAATAAAAAAAAACAATTGAGAGTAGTGGTAGCCGAGCGAAAAAGTATTTAAAGTGTTTTAATATTACGTACACTGGAAGAAATATAAAAACTTATAGCGAAGGGATGGAAGAAATGTTGGTGTACGATTATGTCGGATGATAAATTGACTTTTTTTTTTCAAATTTCGATAGCACATTTTATAAAGTGTTAGAAGCGATAGTGTCGGAGATAAGCGTATAGATTGCGAGGGCTGAAATATCAGAAGAAACTAATCGGAAAGAACGTAGAACCAAAGCTCGATAGCGCAAAACAAGTTTTAAAAGAATAATAATAAAAGAACGAACGACGACCAATGATATCGTAATTCTATAACGTTCTTGTTGGAAGGCTGAACAATTTTATGATTTTGTAGAGTTTAACTCCTTAAATTTGTTAAACGAAGGAACACATCTCGTAAACGACATGGGCAATTAAGCTTAATTGAGACAATTAAAAATTGACCGATATCACTAGAACCGCGTGACGTTGGGACAACGTAACTTCTTAAAATCTTTCTTTTCCTTGAAGATTTCTAACGGAATTATTATTGCATTATGGATCCGTTTATTGCACTTCGTAATTTTCTACAAAAGCAGAAATAGATACGAGTAAGAAAAGTTTCGAGAGAACGAAATTTCATTAATCGATAGTTGCAATTGCACGAAGGGATGCTGCGTGACAGAATTGATCCCGCATGAGAAACGCACGTCTCTCCTAAATGTCAACGATGTCAATAGCGTCATAACGGAATCGTGTAATCGTGTTCGCTGAGAAATCGTCTGAGGACGTTATAACGTTTGCAAATAACAAGGAAATAGGCAAATGATTTAGTGGCTGTCGCTGCTGCTGCAATACAACGCAATAAACAAATAGAGTTCTGCCAACCGGAGGAATGAGGGTAGTAATGTGACATTATACACAGAAATTATCTGGCACGATCTAATTGTGTTAGATAGCACATAATTTAATTGAAAAGTGATGTATAAAGGCGAGACTTAACGAACACGTTCCTTTTCTTTTTCCCCCTCGACACGCCGCCGTTTATTTTCAAAGAAAAATAATAAGTAAAAGAGTTACATAATACGCATAATAAAGTGGGAAATAGATGGCGATATTAGACCAGATAGGCTGGAAGATAAGACTGGAATGCACTTAGGAATTAATGTACATACAGCTGCGTGTATCAGTGCTGCTGGACGAGCTGGCAGTCACAAGGCAGTTTATTTCAATGCGCGGTTCATTTATTTTCTTCGCTGTTTTTTGCGAGCAGCTTTGAAAGTAGTTGAATCATGCAATTATAGCCACGTAAACGAGACTAAACGGTAAGTGAGAATGCAAATGGGTATTATCGAGAGAAACTCTGACCGTCGAGCACAGGTGCATCATTAAGACGCGCGGTTGCACTTTATTCTCTGAGACGTCCCCAATTGTGTACACTTCATTCGATATGATTCAATCAAATTTTATAATAATGCACGGATATAAGCACATCTAGTGGACGCGTTCCTTACTAATTTATAAATACATATTAATCAATTAATTTATAAACGTCCATTTATAAATTAATAGAATACATGTGTCAGAGAGA